TTATTTTTTCTTTCTTAAAAAAATCTAGATGAGTCTTTGACCACTCTAGTAGATTTAGGTCACAGATAAAGTAGTCTGAGCTTTTATTCTTGCAATATAGTTTTTACTTTTTATATTTCATATATTAAAGTTAGCAACTCTTTTAGTTACTATAATAAAAACTATTAATAAAGATATAAGCAAGGCCTCATCTTAATACCAAAAAAAAAAAAACTTAGATTAAAGAGTAACTATAAGCAGATCTTAGATATATAATATAAAAGATACTATAGTAATATAGCAAAATTTTTAAATAGATAATAACTAAAATTATACAGAAATTTGTATAAATTCTTATCAGAATATACTAATATCTGAAATTCTTAAAGAATTAGTAATTTAATAAAACTAATAAGCCAAAAAGACTAGTTTTAATTATAAAACAGTATTTGAATTTTGTTTATAACTGTATTTAGATTTAAAAAAGTTATAATATATAGTAAATTATATAAAAATATATTTATTAAGATACAAAAGTTAATTTTATAGAAATAATTTTGAGTTATTTAGATTTAAAATTTTGTAATTACTAATAACAAATAAATTTACTTATATTTTACTAATAATTGCTAAGCATTTATTATAGATTATTATAATTATTATTTAAAAAAATTTATCTACCGGTATTTGATTTTTATATAGAACTATATATAAATTTGATTTATATAGTATATCAAATATCCTAGCATAGTAACTAGATAGTTTGATTTTTAAAATTAATTTATATAAACAGAATTTTATAATTTCAGTTGGTTAATTTACATAAAAATATTATATAAGTACATAACTTTAATAATTCTATATTTAAAAATTATAGATAATAATCACTATAAATAGATATAATATTTTTCATAGTTTTAGTTTGGTTCAGATTTATATAAACTAAACTCAAACCAAAAAACTAGACTCAAACTAAAAAATTAATTTAAGTTCATATTTAAATCTTGAACTATAATACCAGAATATGAAACTAAATCAGAACTAATCAATTATTGAAATAAAATTAAAAAATTTCTAAATAGACATTTTAAATATTATTTCTTTTAACAAATAGCAAAATAAGCACTATACTAAAAATATTTGTAGCTACACAATGCTATATATTAACCAAAACCTAACTTTGTTTTTTAATTACAGGTTTGTAATATGGTTCTAATTTTTGTATTTTTTATTTAAGTTATCCTAGAATTACTTAGTTATCTGATTAGCTTGACCTATTAAGAAATGCTTATATAGTCACCTGATAAATCTTACTTAGGCTTACCTTCTACTTTTATATGAACCAATTACATAATGAGTGAGCATTTAAAATTTCATTTGCATAATAAGTATCTTAAATTCTATCCACATCATGATGATTTTAAAATTCTATTTGTTAGAGATCAGATGATAATATATATGGTCTATGCAGGTTTACTAGATATCTGCAGTATGAGAACCAAAACCAGGTGTTACAACAAGGAAGATACTTTACAACTGCACTGCCAATTTAATTCTGGTTGTATGCATTAGAATATTTATTAATAGTGAACAAGTGACAATAGAGCAAAAGGTGTTCTTTATTTATTTTCAATTGAACAAAAAAAAATCTACCTCTATTTGCAATGAATAACCCTATTTATAGTTATCCCATTAGATTCAAATAAGCTAAGGAAATCATAACACAAGAATAAGGTAATTATTTATCGATGTGAAAGTGTAATAATAGATACTAAATGTGCAATAATTTAATAAAGTTAAGGTTGGTTCAGTCCTGAGAAGACCGGTTAAGGATTAGTCTTTTTGAACAGTTACACAGTCTTCGGTTTTCAGTTTTATACCAAATTTCAGACCAGTTAATGATAAGTTATTAAAATAAACGTATAAACTATTAAAATAAGCTTTTAAACTATTAAAGTAAACTTTTAAACTATTAAACCAAACTTTTAAACATTTAAAAAACTATTCTCTCATGAATTTATTTCAATATACTCGTGAAAATAGTTTATTTTTAAGACCGGGGATCGATAGATAATATTAGAACCGGTCTTATTAGAGACCGAGACGGACGGACCGGGCAGACCAAACCAACCTAAATAAAGTAACACTGATGATCATTAAAAAATGTAGTAACTATGTGCAAAAGTCTAGTAAAGTAAAAATGACAGCATTACGTATTTTCGTAATAATGTCGTGACTGAAGTTGGGATCTGCCTGGCGAAGTTGGCACCTACCTAAAACAGCTAACTAATGCGTGCAGGATGATCGAATTTCAGGGGCTAATTTCAGTCAGGTGCAACTTCAGGCAGATCCAAACTTCAGTCACGACAATAACGCTGTTACTAAAGCTAATTGCGACATTTTGTCGTAACACCGGGTGGTTCTAAAATCATTAAACCGGACTCGACCCGATGGGCCTATTCCCGTTCGATTCCGGGATTCAGTTCGGTTCTACAGAACACTAGATGGGCAAATCGACTTTTTTTGAAATCACTGCGCAGACTGTGCAGCATGCACAGCCTGCAGCTTTATGCAAGCTGGGCCAGCTTGCTTGAAATTTGAAAACCACACTGCGGCAGTCTTTAAAAATTTTGAGCAGCATGCGCAAGCAGCGCAGTGGCCCATCCCTATAGCCAACTGTGGCATCAAACCAAATGCAAGATTTTGTAGACGAACATCATTGAAAATTTCAGAAAACCATACTTTCCGTTTTGATTACAGAAACTCCATTCCTAATACATCTATCCGTGCAAAAAATGCTTATTAGAAAGTTTAATTTATATCTGGAGTCTTCTTTATATTTATTGTTAATATTTATAAATTGGCAGGAACAGTCTTCTCTATGAATTTTCGTACAAACTAAACACACCAAACACGTTGGGTAAATATCCAAACAAAATTTAATAACGTTGAATGTGCACATTAAAACAAGTAGTTCATATACGTACGTACATAACATCAAAATCTTTATCTTATATACTATAACCCGAATGAATTATTTAGCTGGACATTTTTTAGATCAGAGATGCATATGCTAGATATCTCTGGCCAGAGATGCTTATAATTTTCCTTTAAAAATTATGTTTATTATGTTAAAATTAAATACAGTCAATCCTCAGTTATATCCCACTAATTTATATCTCAACCCCACCATTTAGAGAAAAAATATTCTATATTGTTAAAATTTTGCCTCAGTTATATCTCTACCTAAGTTACATATTCGAAACTCTAGACAAAAAGGGGTGAAAAATAACTGAGGTTTGACTGTATGCCAATATTATGTATCGCTTAATGATCAATAATCTCTTAATTATAAAAACATAAAACAAAATAAAAAAAAAACATCTTTATATCGGGTTGTCAATATCATCTCTATTTCTACTAATAAAGCTAGTCTACAAGATATAATGTTGAATGTCCCCAATATAAATTAAAAATTCATAGATTAATCTATCGCCTTTAAGCCTTATTAAATCTCGTTTGTGTAGAGATTTATTTGGCCAATCAGTCAATTATCAGCTGTTCTCTTTTTTATGAGCATCTAATTATTTTAATCATAAGGATACCCATTTCAAGTTTTGCGCGATGGCGTTTGCATAACTATAGAATTTCATATGGAATCTTAACCACATAGCATTAATTAATCTGTAAAAATTGTAAGCCACAAATTCTAAATGTTAATTAAATGCTATATGCATTGAAATTAATCTATCAATCGTGCTCTTAGTAAATTTACGATCATCTTATGACAAACAATGTCAATATCTCCAGCGATTGAATCCATTCATACAAGCCTGCTTGCTTATGGAGTAACCACAGTTTGATAAAACAAACATTCAAATATTTGTATAATATGGATCTGAAACTATATTTTCATTGACTGATAGTTTTGTTTGTGTTATAAGTTCATTGTCCAACTGAACTTTTTTACATATTTCATTAAAAAATTGTTTGAATTCTGGTTCTTTTTTTTTCCTGTCTATGAAGCTTTCTACTCGATCACGAAATGTCGGATAGTTATTTAATAAGATTATTAGTATCTCTAACGCTTTAAACCGTATAGAATCAGCTTGCGAATGTTCGAAAGATGAAACCGCTGCGACATATGAATAAATGAGTGTTTTATCATCGTTTTGTGATGCTATAAGAATGAGTCTTTGGAAAAAATCTAATAAGCAAAACCAAAATGTATGTTGTAGCCCAAGCGGTGCATTTCTGACAAGAGTGCTTGTAGATGAAGCGATCTTATGAATGGTCGAAACACCAGGATAGTCCTTTGTACACAGAAAGTCATATATATGTATTGATAGATTATCAAGAACACATTGTTTATCCGGTTGAAAAAATGAAGCATAAAAAGACATTAAAACTTCATGCAAAGTAGAAGACCATTTTGCGCGTGGATATTTGAAAGAAATTGCTTTTAAAACTCCTGACAACGATATTATAAGATTTGTGGCACCACCAGGGTGTGACATTGCAATAGAATTAACAGGATTGGCAGCCGAAAAAAATTTCTTCAGGTGGTCACTTATTTCAAAACCAAGAGTCTGACTGTTTTTCATGCTTTTTAATAAGTTGCGTATATAGCATAGTAAGTAATTGATATTGTAATTGCAAATATTCAACTTATCAATATTGTTATCTTGTCTCATTCTATTTTCATCATATGGGCCTATCGTCGTAAATTCATAGTGGATTTCGTCACATGAAGATAAGAACGAATATTGTGATTGGTAAAATTTTTCACGAACAACATTGCCATTGTGATAAATCCTTTCGAGTGCTGCAACCCACGTTCGTAGATATATTTCCAAAAGTGAACTCGTATTAACATAAAATGCTCTCTCAAAATAGTTAAAATATGCCCCGGAATTTGAACGGTCGATTAATTTAGTAATCGCTTCTAAGCATGTTTCTGTCTTTATTTCTATGTTATAATTTTCAGCCAATCTTTTGAACATATCTACGAACGTGGGTTGCAGCACTCGAAAGGATTTATCACAATGGCAATGTTGTTCGTGAAAAATTTTACCAATCACAATATTCGTTCTTATCTTCATGTGACGAAATCCACTATGAATTTACGACGATAGGCCCATATGATGAAAATAGAATGAGACAAGATAACAATATTGATAAGTTGAATATTTGCAATTACAATATCAATTACTTACTATGCTATATACGCAACTTATTAAAAAGCATGAAAAACAGTCAGACTCTTGGTTTTGAAATAAGTGACCACCTGAAGAAATTTTTTTCGGCTGCCAATCCTGTTAATTCTATTGCAATGTCACACCCTGGTGGTGCCACAAATCTTATAATATCGTTGTCAGGAGTTTTAAAAGCAATTTCTTTCAAATATCCACGCGCAAAATGGTCTTCTACTTTGCATGAAGTTTTAATGTCTTTTTATGCTTCATTTTTTCAACCGGATAAACAATGTGTTCTTGATAATCTATCAATACATATATATGACTTTCTGTGTACAAAGGACTATCCTGGTGTTTCGACCATTCATAAGATCGCTTCATCTACAAGCACTCTTGTCAGAAATGCACCGCTTGGGCTACAACATACATTTTGGTTTTGCTTATTAGATTTTTTCCAAAGACTCATTCTTATAGCATCACAAAACGATGATAAAACACTCATTTATTCATATGTCGCAGCGGTTTCATCTTTCGAACATTCGCAAGCTGATTCTATACGGTTTAAAGCGTTAGAGATACTAATAATCTTATTAAATAACTATCCGACATTTCGTGATCGAGTAGAAAGCTTCATAGACAGGAAAAAAAAAGAACCAGAATTCAAACAATTTTTTAATGAAATATGTAAAAAAGTTCAGTTGGACAATGAACTTATAACACAAACAAAACTATCAGTCAATGAAAATATAGTTTCAGATCCATATTATACAAATATTTGAATGTTTGTTTTATCAAACTGTGGTTACTCCATAAGCAAGCAGGCTTGTATGAATGGATTCAATCGCTGGAGATATTGACATTGTTTGTCATAAGATGATCGTAAATTTACTAAGAGCACGATTGATAGATTAATTTCAATGCATATAGCATTTAATTAACATTTAGAATTTGTGGCTTACAATTTTTACAGATTAATTAATGCTATGTGGTTAAGATTCCATATGAAATTCTATAGTTATGCAAACGCCATCGCGCAAAACTTGAAATGGGTATCCTTATGATTAAAATAATTAGATGCTCATAAAAAAGAGAACAGCTGATAATTGACTGATTGGCCAAATAAATCTCTACACAAACGAGATTTAATAAGGCTTAAAGGCGATAGATTAATCTATGAATTTTTAATTTATATTGGGGACATTCAACATTATATCTTGTAGACTAGCTTTATTAGTAGAAATAGAGATGATATTGACAACCCGATATAAAGATGTTTTTTTTTTATTTTGTTTTATGTTTTTATAATTAAGAGATTATTGATCATTAAGCGATACATAATATTGGCATACAGTCAAACCTCAGTTATTTTTCACCCCTTTTTGTCTAGAGTTTCGAATATGTAACTTAGGTAGAGATATAACTGAGGCAAAATTTTAACAATATAGAATATTTTTTCTCTAAATGGTGGGGTTGAGATATAAATTAGTGGGATATAACTGAGGATTGACTGTATTTAATTTTAACATAATAAACATAATTTTTAAAGGAAAATTATAAGCATCTCTGGCCAGAGATATCTAGCATATGCATCTCTGATCTAAAAAATGTCCAGCTAAATAATTCATTCGGGTTATAGTATATAAGATAAAGATTTTGATGTTATGTACGTACGTATATGAACTACTTGTTTTAATGTGCACATTCAACGTTATTAAATTTTGTTTGGATATTTACCCAACGTGTTTGGTGTGTTTAGTTTGTACGAAAATTCATAGAGAAGACTGTTCCTGCCAATTTATAAATATTAACAATAAATATAAAGAAGACTCCAGATATAAATTAAACTTTCTAATAAGCATTTTTTGCACGGATAGATGTATTAGGAATGGAGTTTCTGTAATCAAAACGGAAAGTATGGTTTTCTGAAATTTTCAATGATGTTCGTCTACAAAATCTTGCATTTGGTTTGATGCCACAGTTGGCTATAGGGATGGGCCACTGCGCTGCTTGCGCATGCTGCTCAAAATTTTTAAAGACTGCCGCAGTGTGGTTTTCAAATTTCAAGCAAGCTGGCCCAGCTTGCATAAAGCTGCAGGCTGTGCATGCTGCACAGTCTGCGCAGTGATTTCAAAAAAAGTCGATTTGCCCATCTAGTGTTCTGTAGAACCGAACTGAATCCCGGAATCGAACGGGAATAGGCCCATCGGGTCGAGTCCGGTTTAATGATTTTAGAACCACCCGGTGTTACGACAAAATGTCGCAATTAGCTTTAGTAACAGCGTTATTGTCGTGACTGAAGTTTGGATCTGCCTGAAGTTGCACCTGACTGAAATTAGCCCCTGAAATTCGATCATCCTGCACGCATTAGTTAGCTGTTTTAGGTAGGTGCCAACTTCGCCAGGCAGATCCCAACTTCAGTCACGACATTATTACGAAAATACGTAATGCTGTCATTTTTACTTTACTAGACTTTTGCACATAGTTACTACATTTTTTAATGATCATCAGTGTTACTTTATTTAGGTTGGTTTGGTCTGCCCGGTCCGTCCGTCTCGGTCTCTAATAAGACCGGTTCTAATATTATCTATCGATCCCCGGTCTTAAAAATAAACTATTTTCACGAGTATATTGAAATAAATTCATGAGAGAATAGTTTTTTAAATGTTTAAAAGTTTGGTTTAATAGTTTAAAAGTTTACTTTAATAGTTTAAAAGCTTATTTTAATAGTTTATACGTTTATTTTAATAACTTATCATTAACTGGTCTGAAATTTGGTATAAAACTGAAAACCGAAGACTGTGTAACTGTTCAAAAAGACTAATCCTTAACCGGTCTTCTCAGGACTGAACCAACCTTAACTTTATTAAATTATTGCACATTTAGTATCTATTATTACACTTTCACATCGATAAATAATTACCTTATTCTTGTGTTATGATTTCCTTAGCTTATTTGAATCTAATGGGATAACTATAAATAGGGTTATTCATTGCAAATAGAGGTAGATTTTTTTTTGTTCAATTGAAAATAAATAAAGAACACCTTTTGCTCTATTGTCACTTGTTCACTATTAATAAATATTCTAATGCATACAACCAGAATTAAATTGGCAGTGCAGTTGTAAAGTATCTTCCTTGTTGTAACACCTGGTTTTGGTTCTCATACTGCAGATATCTAGTAAACCTGCATAGACCATATATATTATCATCTGATCTCTAACAAATAGAATTTTAAAATCATCATGATGTGGATAGAATTTAAGATACTTATTATGCAAATGAAATTTTAAATGCTCACTCATTATGTAATTGGTTCATATAAAAGTAGAAGGTAAGCCTAAGTAAGATTTATCAGGTGACTATATAAGCATTTCTTAATAGGTCAAGCTAATCAGATAACTAAGTAATTCTAGGATAACTTAAATAAAAAATACAAAAATTAGAACCATATTACAAACCTGTAATTAAAAAACAAAGTTAGGTTTTGGTTAATATATAGCATTGTGTAGCTACAAATATTTTTAGTATAGTGCTTATTTTGCTATTTGTTAAAAGAAATAATATTTAAAATGTCTATTTAGAAATTTTTTAATTTTATTTCAATAATTGATTAGTTCTGATTTAGTTTCATATTCTGGTATTATAGTTCAAGATTTAAATATGAACTTAAATTAATTTTTTAGTTTGAGTCTAGTTTTTTGGTTTGAGTTTAGTTTATATAAATCTGAACCAAACTAAAACTATGAAAAATATTATATCTATTTATAGTGATTATTATCTATAATTTTTAAATATAGAATTATTAAAGTTATGTACTTATATAATATTTTTATGTAAATTAACCAACTGAAATTATAAAATTCTGTTTATATAAATTAATTTTAAAAATCAAACTATCTAGTTACTATGCTAGGATATTTGATATACTATATAAATCAAATTTATATATAGTTCTATATAAAAATCAAATACCGGTAGATAAATTTTTTTAAATAATAATTATAATAATCTATAATAAATGCTTAGCAATTATTAGTAAAATATAAGTAAATTTATTTGTTATTAGTAATTACAAAATTTTAAATCTAAATAACTCAAAATTATTTCTATAAAATTAACTTTTGTATCTTAATAAATATATTTTTATATAATTTACTATATATTATAACTTTTTTAAATCTAAATACAGTTATAAACAAAATTCAAATACTGTTTTATAATTAAAACTAGTCTTTTTGGCTTATTAGTTTTATTAAATTACTAATTCTTTAAGAATTTCAGATATTAGTATATTCTGATAAGAATTTATACAAATTTCTGTATAATTTTAGTTATTATCTATTTAAAAATTTTGCTATATTACTATAGTATCTTTTATATTATATATCTAAGATCTGCTTATAGTTACTCTTTAATCTAAGTTTTTTTTTTTTTGGTATTAAGATGAGGCCTTGCTTATATCTTTATTAATAGTTTTTATTATAGTAACTAAAAGAGTTGCTAACTTTAATATATGAAATATAAAAAGTAAAAACTATATTGCAAGAATAAAAGCTCAGACTACTTTATCTGTGACCTAAATCTACTAGAGTGGTCAAAGACTCATCTAGATTTTTTTAAGAAAGAAAAAATAA